ATAAGAAAACACAGACATCACAGATAACAAAATGGTATAATATTTTATCTTTCAAAGTATGTAGTTCTCCATGATACCAAATATTACTTCACATAATTTTGATACAAAACCTCGAAATTTTTGTTTCCGTAATTGGAATGTTATTTGGAGCATTTGTCACATATTCTTCTGAATAGTTCTTGACTGAGGGAATATACGCAAAAAGATGCTCGCCTGTACTCCCTTAAATTTTGACAAAAAGGAATAATTAAATTATTAAATTCTTTGCATTCAGCAGAAAAAGTAACTTTAATTGCAATTATTGTAAAATTCTTTAATATGATTTATATTTATACTTAGATCTGGTATAGATCTAAAAAAAGATTACTGATAATGCCTTACTTAGATTCTTAGATTCTTTAATAACTAAAGCAGCGATTTTTCGACGAAGACTTATTACCGGCTCTTCACATTTGTTGCATTGAATCCAGTCTTCAACAGGTGGATTGACAAATTTTTCAGTGCAATAAATACAATACCCCTACATAAATTGGATTTATTCTTAATCTTCAGTTTTACTCTTAATTTCATGATCCGAATCATCCCAAAAGAAGTTATCCGATTAATCTCATATGTCAACTTCATAAACTACATTAATTTTCTCAAAACCATCTTAATAATATTATTAAACTATTTACTAGACTGATTTAGAAAACTGTACACTGCAAAAATTATAATTTACACACATTTCAACATACCTTTTCGTTATGAACTCACAAAATCGAGATCGTGATTTTACATAAGAGATGAATTTCTTCGTGTCATTCGTGACCTCTGCGCTTATATCGTCGATTAACATTGAACCATACGCAATAAAAATATTATCTGTTGTTTCCGCTGCAAGAAGAACGCACGGAAGTAACTAGCATGATAAAACAGATCGCTTGAAAGAAAAAGGTAATGATAACTGTCTTAAAGCTTATAATGATTCGATTCGCTCTGATTTACCCTAATTATTTCCACAGGTCAAAAGAGAACATTTTCACTTAAACTTTAAAAAATAATCAAGAGATACGATTATGTTTCGCGTCAAGTATATAAATAGCAGCGAACATAAGACTGGATATTTATATGCAAATCACACAATTGATACTTTAATAATTTGATAAGTTTTAGAGTTTATAAAATAATTATGATTCAATTTGAATATCAATAATATGTATATATTGTATACAGTAATCCTACTAACTCCAGTATATATGCCGCACCTATCAAAAACTGAATTTATCAAGTATTATTTATTATGTTTAAAGTAAACGAACTATATCAGTAAAAACTTTGTACTACTAAACTTTGTCTACTATTATGAAAAAAATATTAGAAATCCGAAATATTTATATTTCGTATTAAAAAAATTTTACTTACTTTTTAAACTCTTGCATTTTTACCGTATCTCATAGGGATATGCGACTACTCATAGAGAGAGAGAGAGAGAGAGAGAGAGAGAGTGGGTATGTATAGCTCATAAAAAATTTACAAATAATGCATATAAATAAGACGTAAAATGAAACAATAACTTATAAAGAAATAAAAAATAAAAAAATGCGTTTATAAAGTTTTGCTAAGGAATAAGAATGATAAATATGTATATGAAATAATAAATAATTACAATCTTCCCAGATATATTACAAGTGTTATGACATGAGATATATATTTTATATGTAATGCGTTTATTGTATTTTATAGTTCACTGAATTCAATCTGCGCACTGTATGGTTTGGGCATAAATCCCGCCTGTTAAAAATGCCATATCTCAAACAAGTAGGATATACAAGACAACAAACTAAACAAAGAATTGTAACGTTATTATATATTTTACGAAATACTAAAACATTATAGAAATCAATTCACAAAAATTACGATTTGCAATATTCTGATAGGAGAAGAATTAAGTCGAATTATTAATTCGAATATATTATAATATGATCTCACTGAGTAATTTGCTTTGGAAAATCATCACTCTTTTATTACAGACAATAATCAGATACTCGACTTTGATTCTATTTCAATCCGCTTGCATTCAATATACGTGTTCAAAATACGTCGCGATCAATTCGTTCGAAAATAAATATAAACTTTCGTATACGTAAACGATCGTGATGACTCGCAAGTCGATAACAGAATACAATGATTATTTCGTTCTATTTATTTGTTCTGCGTTCCTAAGCGTGAAGAAGAGAGCCGATCCAAGAAGAAACCGCCAGTCGCTCCAAGACACAAAGCCACATCCTTTTCCTGATAGCAATAAATAGTATCCCTCTAAGTGGGTGGGTACATCTATGGTGTAAGAAGTAAGGTGAACCATTCTCACATTCATGCGCAGTGGATTGAAAGTAGTGGGAAGATCCGTCAACCAATCAATTTTTGAGTTCATTTGCAGAAATTTACATGATTCGTTCTGCAAATAAATACACTGCAAATTAGTACAATTTTGATTGGTCAAACTCCTCAAACTATTATGCGCAATGATTCACCTTATATAATTCCACCTTGAGTACATCCTGCTCGTGCGGAGTCAACTATTCGGTTTCCCTGCCAATGTAAGAGATCATCTTAGGCCATAACCAGTTCGTTTGTTTCAAGCCTTCGGGTCTTCGATACTACTCTCTTTTGGATCCTCTTTCTTGCTCGAATTTGGTTCTTTTGATTTTTCAATATCCGCTGATCTCGTTCGTCTTCGACATTCCTTCTCCATGCAATGCTCAATGCTTCCCCATCATTACTTTCTTTCCTACTTTGATTGGCTATTTAAATTCTATACGTATATCGCTCTACAGAATACAAGAGCAAAGTATTTGTATTTTGTTATACATGCTTTACTATTTCTCTACACTCATGTATCACGAGATAACCACTAAGTGGTTTTGCATGTCCTACAGTAATCATTTTCATGTAGATTATAATTTATGATGACGATATACTTAATACAGTAATAAATCGATACACAATAATTTCATTAATATTACAGTAAGAAACTGAAATCATAACACAATACTAATATATATATACTAATGTAACACAATACTAATATAACATAAAAGCAACAGAGTAGATGCAGGAAAATTACTCCCATTCCTTCTATTTTTTTTTTTACTTTTGCGGCATAAATTTCAGCGCGGCATATTTGCTGGAGTTGCTCTATTCGTATTTTAATATATTTTTAATACAATTAATGGAGAAATAATATAATATAATCTTCTTTCTTTTTATAGATATCAATTTGTATTAATTGGTAATAATTTTGTCTTTTAGTAAATGCTTTTCCAAACAAATTAATTAAAATAATGGAAAATAATAATTAAAAACTTTTATACATGTATATATATATATATATATATA